TCGACAAGGTTTGGCATCAGGGCCTGCTCTACAAGCTCCATCATCAACTCTTCCTACCGGTTCCAGTCCTCAGGTGGATACAATCCTATCTTACAGGTCGCACATTCCAGGTTCCAGTCAACAACCAGCTGTCTAATTCTTATACCACTACAGCTGGAGTACCAAAAGGATCAGTCTTGCCACCGCTGCTTTTTCTTGCGTTTGTCAACGACTTACCTCGACACATACCATCATATGCACATGTCAGCCAATATGCAGATGAAACAGCCATATGGCTCACGAGAATAAATGAAGTCAAGCTAGAAAAGGACGCCCAAGTTGTCCTCGATGCTCTTTCATCCTACTGTAAGGATTGGAGTAAGGATATAAGGATGAATCCTTCCAAATCCTCATACCTTTACGTGCCTAGAAGCCTATCTCGAGACACCTCCAACCTAGGCTTTGGATGAATAGGGACCTCATCCCCGCTGCTTCCACCTGCAAATTTCAAGGTATCACTTTTCACAAACACCTCCGTTGGTCCCCCCACGTGCAGATGCTACGTCAAAAGGCAGTTCGTAAATTGAATTGCCTGAAGTAGCTCTCGCGTGTCAACGGTTGTGAGCCCAACGTCATCATGCGCCTGTATAAGGCTAACATCCGTCCTGTTTTAACGTACGGATTTGCGGCCTGGGCCAATGTCCCCGATTCCATGATACACCTGCACGCATCGAACGAGCTGCGATTAAGTTCGCGTACAGAATCCCACGTCACTACCCCTCTGATTACATCTAAAGGGTCAGTGGCCTTACATCTCTTGACGTGTACGCCTCAGATCTAGCTCTCTCCTTCTATGAGAAGGACACTTGCCCTGAAGACGTACACGAATACCTGACAGCACAAAGGACGACGACGAGCGTTCAGAGCTGAATATCCCATCTTCAGCATACGCCGTCGAATCTCCAGTTGGGAAGATTATATCGCTAAAACACTCGATGATCTCCCGAATGACTCAACTACTCTGCCATGCTCCCCCCAACCTATTCTTTGACCATTTCTTTGTTCCCCTGGCCGCCTTTTAGGTAATTTCCAATCCCTTACTCTTCAACTCATCGAGCCCTCTAGATACCCCATAAAGGGGACTTTGATCTTATCCACCCCTTCTTACATCTATGCAGCCACAACTGTCCTAATCTCTTCCATCCCCCACCAATTAAGGCAGCTCAGAGTCTATTGTAGGATCTCTCTCTTTGGCTAGTCTGCCTTATTAAGCAGCTATCCTCTCTATTTGTCGGGACAAGCAGGGAGCCTGATAATATTTTTCTTAACAGCTGGCACCTGTCAATCCCAAGTAGCTCACGGAGCACCTGAGAGGTACCTAAAACTTATATAAATGCTATTTCTAAATGGATAGGATTCAATCATCTTTAAAAGTTGGTATAGAATAGCCCCAACGTGTTTTCATTCTTTAAAAGTTAAACGAATAGGTCTCATCTTTTTCTAGGCTGCTATTGCAACTGTCCTAACTATTGAGTAATCTGTAAAAAAGACGGGAGAAACCTCGGTCTCCGACTGGGACAATGGGGACCATTCACATTGTCTAAATCAGCTTCGAAGGAATTTTGCACCTGCCAGCCCGCGCGCAGGAGAATTTCACCGGGACTGGCAGGACCTCTGATGTACCCACCATCAGGCAGAGGGGCCAGTCCCTCCATTAGCTCCTATTCTTTAAAATAAAAATAAAAATAAAATAAAATGAACATAAAAATAAATAATAATAAAAAAACCAGCCCCGTAAATGTAACACCTTCCCTCTCCTAATTGGAAGAAAGCTCCTATGAACACCTACTTCTCCTCCCGAGGTTCCGGTACAGGAGGAGGAATTAGTAGGTCGTTTTGGTACTCTTGAGTGCTGGTGAGGATGAGTATTCGTGTACTCATTCAACCACCCTAGAGGTCTGGAGTATGGAAAGGAATGGGAGATCCAGTGTATCAATTCTCTTTAAATGTTCAATTGGCTCGTTAAATACACATGAATGCGAGGAGGAAATTAACATAATTCTCACGTAAAATGAATGTCAACATGCTATTTGGAATGCAAACGGAATGTCAATTTTACGCAAAATTAAGGTTAATTCTATATCACCGTTCACGTATCACAGAGGTGACATTTCTGCAAACATGTTCACATTACCTTGACAATGGTTTACGTAAAAATGATATAAAATGAAGAAAAAATTTACATTCATTTTACGTAAAATTAACATAAACATGCTGTTTTGGTACATGCATGCGACTCACGTTAATTGTACTTGTCAAACCCAAATAATCCAAACCAAAATATCCCCAATAATTTTTGACGCGTGTATATAGCCGTAAATATGGAACCTGAAGCAGGGCATCGGAGGTGAGGACGTTTGAAGATCCCAGGAATATCCCCTTTTGGAATCGGAACTGCGGAGGGAAATTCTTGCCGATCCAGTCCGTACTCCGGATGAATTGAGAAGTGTCTGGAATCCAGAGTTTTTCCGGTCTTGTCTCCGTTTTCCAATTCCTCAGACCGATTCCACCCACAAACGTCATCACCAGGCAGAGGAAAATGACCAGAAAAGGCCATTTCGACACCACGTACCCATGCCTGAATGGTTTGAAAGGCAAAATTTTATTCTAGTTTCAGTTTAGATCATTTTTTAAAGTTAACATCTTCGTCTAGCAAAATTGTTATTCATTAATGCATAAAAGTGCATGGTAAGAAATTGTCTTCCAAAATACAGGGCATCCCATTAGATGATTAGAGCATTTTAGCAGCAAAAATATATCGAAACCCAACACAAAATAATATAATTCACCCCGAGTTGGAGGCTTTTCGGGAGAAAAGATTGCCCTTCGCAAATCCTCGAAATAATTAATCGCTCAAATTCAATACGGAAAGATTTAAATAATAAAAAAACTGCATCTCATGGTGGGTGCTGACACGTGCTGGCGGTACTTGGTAACCCCACTCGTCATTTAAGGAAAACGATTCAATAGGAAATGCGGTAACGTTGAATGTTCAGATCTGCAGAAAAAGCCAAATTTAAAACTCTATCAACTCCGCCACGTATTGAGTACATCATTATTCCGCGATGTTTGGCTTAGATTCTATTTTCGAATAAGAAACCCTAGCCAAGCAACCTCATAGAACACTCTGAGTCATTCTGGCGTTTCCTTCTTTCCTTCGTTACATAACATCTGTTTGGAGGAAGGATGTTGTGTAACGAAAAGTGTATGCACCTTCCGCCTGATTCTTCTCTTCCCGAAAAGAATGCAGAGGAAAACGATGTGGAATGCCACAACAGGGCCTGCTCAATAGCCCCAAAATAAGCCTCAGGGCAAAAACCCCGAAAATCACACCCGAAAAAAAAAGTCGGGTGTGAAACAGATGGAATTTTGTGGTTCAGTGGAATGGGGAAAAACTCACCGATGAAAGTATGCTTCCATGGATTGATTGATAACACGGCTACACCATTTTGTACAACTAGGAGAGGTCGTTTTCCCCTTTCGTATCGCATGGTCCTGCTCCTCTCCCATGAGCTCCATTCCCTATAGGTGAGCATGACACGGACTCAGGTAGACAGAGCACATGGTGCCAGCCTCGTTCCTCTCCGGAAGCTTCACTTCTTAGGGTGTGACGCATGCGCTCCCCCCGGGCATGGAAAGTTCCAGCTGGAAGGCAGCACGTTCAATGCTGCTGCGGTGCCCTCACATCATCCTCTGACTCGTTTCTTCCCAAAACATTTGCTTTCTCATGGAAAAGATTCAAATATAAAACCGATCCAGGGCAATTCAAGGTCCACAACGTACACAGAAATGATTGGAACGAGAAGGCCTCGAGATGATCCTTTCATCTTTCGCCACCGCAACACCGATGATTCCTTTGGGAACCCAATAAACTGTATTTCACTTTTCTGAATGACGGGGGGTCCTCGAGGTTCCTATCGAGTCAATTTCTAAAGGTATCACTGACAGAAATTTCAAGCAGTTTTAAATTGAACCAAATCACCCCTTGTTTTCATTTTAAGTGAGATACTTTTTTTTCGTGAACTTAAAACGTCGCTCGTAGCAACTCTCGGAATGGAAATCTTCAATGGCAAGAGGGCTTTATGCAGAAGCTTATAATAAAAAAATTCATTCAGAAGAAGCTGCGAGGCATTCAGTCATGGGACTGAGTACGAGAGGAGATGCCATTTGAATGGGATCGTGCCAGTTTCCCGCACATCTTAAAAAGTTCTTTACACTTCCTGGGCGCAGTCATGAAAGGATCCCCTAGAAATGAAAGCATTCGCCATTCACACAAAAAAGATTCAATGGAAATAAAACTCGGCCGGGGAGACTCAACATTTCCATTTTATTACAAAATCCTTCTATCGTAGCAATGTCGATAGCTAAGAAAGGATAATCCCTTGTTCTCAGACTAGACCTAGGATGAGACTATGCGAGGGAGAAAAGGAAGATGTCAGTTGCTATTTCCCTTCAAGATTAGGATTGTCCCTCTACCCTGCCGCTGCAAAGGAATATAAGCCCTTGCGAAAATATGAAATTGGCATAGAATGTGAGATGAGGAAGAGAACAGCAATTCATTACTCTGACCATTGGCTCAAACTGAACCCATGACACTGTTAAACTGCTTCTGTTTGAATTAGGGTATACTTTCCTCACATGTCACGCAAAGCAGGACTCTGGTAGAAAAAATGCTTGAAGTTCGGAGGACAGAAGATGAAGAAAAAGAAGCTTGGCTCATCAGCGGACAGCACCTTAGTTCATGAAATGTCCTGCCTTAAATTTTTTCGAGTTATATTGCCTTTTGGCGTCGTGCTTTCCCTGGCGTTTCGTCCACGGAAGTATCGCATCGCGGGGCCATCCATATATCAGTAAAAGCAGCAACAGAAGTATTCACAGAATCCTTGCCTCTCTCCAAATACTTGAAGGAAAAGAGATCACTGTAGTAGTCGTCGGAAGAGATTCAGCATCATTCACACTCATTACTGATGCTGCGCATCCAGTGCATCTAGGAATTTCTTCTCGATCAGTTTCGGGATCACCTTATGCCTGAGAGGAGAGATGCGTGAGGTTTTCATTGGATACGATACAGGAGGTAAACGACTCATAAAATTCAATGGACCGCATAGAGTACCTCAAGGGCATGAGAACGAGGAGGAGGATGGGGAAGACCATTTTGACATATGGCCATGGATAGAAGCCAACGACGCACATAAACAATAGTTGAAGCACCTGACACGCCGTGAACTGATGAATCTTCCTCTGTGGCACTCTTCGGATGTAATGATTCGGAGGATACGCCGCCTGCACACATGCAAAAAAAGGAGGAAAATCTGGAATTAATCCGGATAAACTCAACGTATTGATTCAGATGAGACGATTTCAAAGTTAATCAGAAAAAAGCAGCTTAAGGGACATAAGATTTTTGGGGGAATTCAGTTTTCAAAGTGGTTGCTAGAGGCGACACATGTCAATATAGCTTTTTAATCCATTTGGCATGAATAGGCTTTGGTAGTGCTTTTTCCCTTTCTTTAACCCCTTCCCGTTACTAAATTCAACCTCCTCGTTTTCCTCTCAGAAAGTACCTCGAGGAACGAACTTGGGCAGGCTTCGCACCCATCAACCGTGTCTGTCCAGGAAATTTGAAGCTCCAACTCCTCAGGGTTGAAGTAGAACACTGAATGTCTTCGCTTTTTGAAGATGCGAGATTTTGGTTCGATAAGAGATGCAGTTTCCTCCCCTCCTCCCCCGCTCCATTCATTTTTCTTTTTCGTATGCTGAGTCAATTAACTAATTAATATGATGATGATTTGAAGTGCGTAATAGGGGAAAAGAAATCCCCTACTGTATCATACCCCTTTCGTTCCTGTAATTTGCAGATGAAGCTCATCCAAGCTATGTAAATGCATAAACTCAAGATGAAAAAGAACAAACTCGAGTTAACGCCGTGGTCTGGAATAGAACCTGGGCTTTTGCGGTCACAACGCAACGTGGTAACTATTGATATTATACGATCACTGCTACTGAGCTCGCTCCGTACATGTATTTACCCCAATGATGCGAAGGAAAAATAATGTTCCCCCGTCTCAGTCCCCTGCGGGGCGTATTTATGGGCAGTTCTCCCGTTTCACAGGCAGGTATTAGTGGGGAATGCAACCCCTAGATTTTCCGCGCCCTATGACGTGGCTTGAAATGATGCTAATGTCTGTGAACGAAGGATCATTCATGCAGGGTTCTTTGTTAATTCAATCAGCGACTCTTTCTATATCTGTTTGAAAAAATGCGGCGGGGTATTTAACCACTTTCCTACACAAACATACTTACCGGGTATATAAGAATTGAATGATGAAGTATTGAACTTAGTCATTCTCGTGCATTGCAAGGAACGACATGGAGCCGGTAGGAATGGACTCAGTAAATACCACGAGGCTCTTATATCCATTATTTAAGTCAGTCTTTTTACATACTCTCATGTGCACCCAGGTACACCTCGACGCAATTTGGAATCCGTATGCTGAAAGTAAGTAGGTTCCAAATGGATTAGTTTTTTGTCATTGAAAGAAGCATCTATTGTATTTGGAACCTGTCATTTTTAGTGAAATTCTCGACTGGGGAAGACAACATCATCATTCATAACGAATGAAATAAGTGAGTGCATTTCGCAAGTGGATATGGTAACTGCGTACTATGCTCCCGAGAAGCCTGGTAGCTATGGTGGGTTGGAAGCGTTTTATAAAAGGGTCAAGGAGCAAGGACTGATAGTGACGAGAAAGGAAGTCAGTGCTTGGCTATCTTCTCAAGATACGAACTCCATTCACTAACCAGTCAGGAAATCATTTCCGCGAAATCGTATCATCGTGTCCAATACCGAAGAACAACGGCAGATCGATCTCATGGATGTTCAAAATACCTCTCGATACAATAACGGATACGGATACATTCTCTCATGTATCGACGTTTTGTCAAAGTATGTTTGGATGATCCCAGTCAAAAGCAAGACGGGGACTAAGATTGTAAAGGCTTTCAAGAAAATTCTCAACGAAGGCAGGAAGTTCCTATTTCGCATTTCATTAATAAACTCCTAGATGTTCTTTGTAGGCGATAAGTACGACCCTTCCGACCCCATTTAAATTGGGATATTTGACAAGTTTTCTCTGCGAATATTCAACCTACGACCTTGAAACTAGCATCAATTTCAATGCCCTAATACGAGTATGATTTTCAAATTTCATGACGATCGCTCAACTCCTTCTTGGTGTGACTTTTTTGGCGATGAGTGTATAATCTAAAGCGACGCAGAGAAGGAATTTTTGAACCGGACGCTTCAAAGCCTTCTCAACGAGAGAGGAAAGGATATTTTACTTTTCAAGTTCGGAAAAGAAGGACAGTGTAGTTGATACGTACGGGCAAATCTAGCATGTGGAGATATTGATACTTTAGAGCTAGAAACACCTTTAAATATACCGATGTATTGCAAGATTTTGCGATTTTGGAGATTTGGTGGGTATTCCTGTTTCCCGCACACTGTTTCGGAAGGGGTACGTAGGGAATGGAACTGAGAAAGTTTTCAAAAATACAGATTGCAGTCCTAAAACTTGCCCTACATACAGGATATATTTGAATGGGGATCCAATTGAAGGAATCTTATGTGAGCCGGAGCGTCAGAGTTGGCATACATGGCAGTCCTAAGTTGAAATTTTGAGCACTAATCCGGGAAAAATCGTCAACGTTGTGGTTTTCAAAGGAAGAAAATATAACCTTTTTCTATAATTAAAGGTAAAAGGTCAGACCCTTTGACCTTTGACATTTACTTTCATTGAGTGTCCTTCAGTTACATATTTAAAATAACATGAAGAGACCTTGAAAATGACACCCGTTTCAGTTTTCTATGTTAGCTAGAACAAAACTTATGAGCACTTAAGGGATGACATCTTGACCCAAAATTGGTCACTTTTTGCTACTTTCAAATTGCTACATCTCTGGAAGTGCTTGTGGTAGAGAGCTCCAATTTGGCATGGAATGGTTTTTCAACAGCTCCTACAATCTCTGCAAATTTCATAGAAATCGGAAGGGGTCAGGTATTGGTTGTGTTGATTTGATTACACAAAAAAAGTTCGTTTGTGGAATCGGATTCAGCTTCGTCTCAGCCTTCATTTGGGTCCAAAAACCTTGTCAAGCTCAAATAGGGTCAGATATAGCTTTCTGATCCACAGGTTTACTTTTCCTCCCGGGGGCTTTTACTTAAAGGTTCAATCTTCGGAACAGTTTCTACTAAAATGCTGGAATTTTTTTGTTTTGCTTTTTGCTTGTTTTGTGTTTTGCTTTGTTTTGTTTTGCTTTTTGCTTTTTTGCCTTGCTTTTTGCTTTTGCTTTTTTTCATTCCTCATGGAGGTATGCATGCATGAATTTTCTCAATTAAATCTCTGTCGAACATACAACGTCTATTTCAAACACTTGAACTGGAACGCCTCATTGATGATAGAGTTCTGCTGATTCGAAAATTTATTAACATGATTAAAAAAATAGTTTTTGCAAATTGTGCGCATCAAGAGCTTGATCATGAAAAGATTGATCTTTTCATTGAATTTCTTGCAATTTTTATGTTGGGAGTTTCGTACTAACTTCCAAAGTCAAAATTTCGTCGATAAATACCATGGCGTTTTTGCTCGAGTAATATTGTGGCGCAAGTTTTGCATTCTTCACTCAATTGCCAGTGAATTTACCCCGTAATCAAAGTTCTTGCATATGCAGTTTTCGAGTTATAGGAATATCAAAATTGGAGGTTGGAAGGTGACCTTGAGATTTGACCACCTTGTAGCAATAGGCCTACTGGACCGATGTGACTGAAATATAGTATTTCCGGGTTTTGGGCCATTATATGCCTGCACCAAATTTAATACAAATCAGAGATGGTGGGGTATTAATTAAAAAAATATTGGGATTATTCTTCATACAATGACTACAGCATAAATGTTCCATTCGGACCTGTTCCGTGAAGAGAAGTGTAATCCTCTCGAACATCTGATTCCCGTTGAGAGCAGTGACGGCCATGTAAAGGAAAAGCCCGTCGAGGACGGCCGTCGGGATGTAGGCCAACGGTAGGGGAAGCATGAGAATGGAAAGCCCGATGAGGACGTGAGCGAACATTCCCGTCAGTCGCGTCTCTCGCACCGTCACGACGCTGTTTAACACATCCACATACAGAGGCCAGAGTAACTTTCAAATCACTGGACCCACTGGAGAGATAAAAGCCTCAGAGACAAGAAAGCGACAGAGTACATTTCATGGACGTGTCCCTGGTCGACACGCTCCTCGACGTCGGCCAGGCTCCTGACATGAAGAGGAGAATGGGGGATGGCTCCGTGCACCCAGGGAAGCCCAAATATGGACAAGAATGCATTCAACACGGCCACGACGAACAAGTCCAAGTGGTACCCCGGTCCCTTCTTCAATCTGCAAAACGACCAAAATGGCTGCATCATCGCAGTGCTACGGGACAAGTGGGGCAAGGGAAGAGAGCAAACGCACTTATTGCAGGGGTTATTGACCATGGCGGATGAGATGTTCTGATCCATGAAGAAGAGCAAGGAAAGGGAGAAGCCGAGGCCCATGCCTGCGAAGATGGCTTCCACTGATAGCTTTTCCAACGCCGCCATGTTGAACACTCTCGTGTCGTCGTATTTGAAACGTTCCACTGTATGAAGAAGTTTTTCAACATTGATGACGATGAACGCTCGTGTACGAGCAGTAAGAGGCGAGAAAATCGATCCGCCCATGATCAAACTCACAATGGACATCCTTGAATAAGAAAGATCCAACAAAGCTGAGCACCAACACAGCAACAGGCAAGGCATAGTCAGCGAGTGCCTCTCGTTTGCTCGCTTGAAGGTACGGCCTGTTCCATCGAAAGAGTCAGTAATGAGTAAACAGATTGATTCCTGAGCAATATGACACCGGAATCGAACGAATAATAGAGGGTGAATTTTTGAAAAGTAAGGAGGGTCCGAGACTCACGTTTTATTGAAGTTGTAAAGGAATACACCTAACCAGAGGGTCCCAAGCATAAGGAAGAGGAAAAGAATGGAGCTCTCTCGTCGACACCCCTCGAAGGACTGCTCTGGGAGTGCGGGAGAGGAGTTGGCACTCAAATAATCAAAGGCATCTGGAGAGAAGTCCTGCAGCGAATAGGGTCCGATCAACGGCTCACTCTCATTCAATAACACCAGTCCGGTCGCCATGCATCCCGGGGAATAGTAGTTGTTGGCGAAATCTAAAAATCCATAATTGCTACAGGTATTCCGAAGAGAAACACCATTTTCTATTGCTAAAAATGAAAATTGCGCTGAATGTCAGCATTCTTCCCTGTCCCAATCGACTTTATGGCTGAAAACATGCGTGCACTTTCAGCAACAACGCAAATTTCCCACACAGCACAGGTATATCCCAAAGATATCCCAGAGATATCCCCTTGGGACAAGTGCGATGTCCCAGAGACAAGGAGTAGGGACATCTCAGGGATATCAAAATGTCTGGGCCCAATGACATGATATCCTATAAAGACATGGGGACAAGTCGTCCAGTTAGGGACATCCCTGGGATATCCCTGTGCTGTGTGGGTTCCATTCAATTCAATAACAGTATCAACTAGTACGTAGCCATGTAAAGTTAGTCACTAGTAACACCAATTTATTTAGTTCAATACTTGGTGTTGGATGACGTACTCTCTGAACAATTAAGTTTTCCCCAACAAGGAGAATGCCTGGTCCTTTTCCCTTTGTTGGCAAGGAAAGGCAAACTAATTCTTCCTCGGTACAATTCTCAAAATTTATGGAAAAATCCTATAGCAGTGGTTCTCAACCGGTGGGCTGCGGAAGTGCTGTGGGTGGGCCGTGACAAGTATCCGTAAGTCTAAAAATAGGAATTAACAAGAGGAACAATAATTATATGGCTTTTAAGTCTGTAGTGGGCCGTGCATCACTTTGCAGTTGTTAAGATGGGCCGCAGGATCGAAAAGGTTGAGCACCACTGTTCTATAGGATCCTATAAGATTTTTGAAACAAAAAAATATTATGGGATTCTATCAGAACCCTATAAAATTCCTATAAGATTTTATGTTTAGAAATCTCATAGGAGCCTATAGATTTTTTCACTATGGTGTTAATCGATTAAGTCTTTTGATCGATTAATTGTGAAACATTTAATCAATTATTTGAATTTTAACCAATCTCCTATTTCCTCGTTTCAATGTGGCAATTTGAAAATAATGCTGCTAAATGCAGAAAGTAAATTTGAATAAACGTAAGGAAAGGAGCGCTTTGCCAGTTAGCCAACCCATACCAGAAGGATTGAAAAATGTAATTGACATTAAGTATATTGTGACACTTCATTATGCGGAGAAGATTCTTTATGGATTCATGGGCGACACAGGATGGAACCCAGACCTTACATTGCGTCTTTCCTGTTGCTCCTGCTACGTGATCCTTACCAATCCCCGCTTTCTTCCGCGCGTTTCCTTACAACTTCTCGATTCCGACTTTCCTTTTCACTTCCTTATGAAGCTTCCTTTCCGAATATTTTGAAAGCGATGGGCTTGCTTCTACGTCCCAAAAATAGGTCATTTTGCAGAAGAGTGACCAGTGCGAAAACAAGTACCTTCTTCAAGTCATCATTTCATCTCATTCACCTCACAACGTATTCGTTTTCAGTTGTGCAAGATTATGCACTACATTGTAAAATTGTAAAAGGAGAGGTGAGAGTTTGTCCAGCGACAAACTTACAAGCCGATGCAAGGTGACAAAGTGTACTACTTGCATTAGATGTAGCAGGTGCGGATGCAATTATGATGAAAAACCGATGGAAGTAAAGTTGTCGCGCAAAAGAGGAGGGGGATGGGGGGAGGAGTACGCAGGAAGATATGAATCCGCTAACACCAACGAAGAAATGGCGACGTGACTAAGCACCTGTATGAGGCAGGAGCAAAATAGGTCGCATGAAACAAGTGATGAAGAAAGAATAAAGAACAGCCTTTGCGAGTTGTTCCTATGAGTGCTTACTTAATAATAGGACGGAAAAACCCAGTTATGCTTAGCGCAGCAGTGCAGTCAACCCTCGGGGATACCCCTCTTCCGGTGGAGCTTGTGACGAAGGATTCACTTCACTCCAGGAAAAGAGGTGTTTTTTGGAGGCTTGAGATGATGGGCTTTTCAAAAACACCCTCCCCCTTGTGTACAACTTATTCCGGAAGGACTTAGTTCTTGTGACACCCACACAAGTAGCTAGTTTTGGTCTCATTAACTCAGAGACTGGGTGTTGAAGCTAGTCACGTAGCGGGGCAGCCACTACATCGTCACCAAAGCATTCCATGCATTCACTACCCAACAAGTGAAAAAGTTCTGTCGCAACCTGTCTCTCACCTGGGGTTCTGGCAACTTAAGTTAGTTCCTTTTCGTTCTGCTGGGAAGAAAGAAAAACGGGGTGAAAAAAATCACACTCAACATTATCGATTCTCCTAACCTTTTCCGGGCCTAATTCCCAACGGGTGGGCAAGGTGAGGCAGAGAATCAGGACACAAGCAAATGTGAAGAAAAGAAAACTTCAAAGTTGAGTGTTAACTGAGACACCCATACTTGGCTTTAGGTTCCTATCGTTTTGATTATTTTATTAGCTCAGAGGGAAACCTGGGGCAGCTGAAAAGGTTACGGCGAAAAATTGATGTATCTTGATAAGGAAAAAAATTAGCCTAGACTTGCAGGAAAATGTTTGCGTCCCATTTCATATGCTGTACGTTGCTCATCATGAAAAATATTCTTAATATGCCAGGATTGACGTTAACTATAAAATAAACTCCTCAGTGAAAACAAAACACCAATGTTTAAAAGTATGTAAGAGAGCATCTCCTCCATCAATGCTTTTATGCACAAGATAGATGATTGTCACCCAACATGAATGATAATTTTTTAAATCGAAATTGAATATTCACGGTCTTCTAAAACCCCTTGAGAACTTATAATGTAAAGACAAGAACATCCCTTGGTCAGGTAGGCTCATTATGTGGCATTCCTAAATCTCATGACAGTTCTCTATGAGATAAAAATAAAACAAATGTAAAAAATGTGAACTTATGTTTTTATACTTTTTTACCCACTGTGCGCTGGTGGGAAATTTCAATATGACATCCGAAACAAATTTGGACATGGCAGAGTCGCCCATGGAAAATTAAATGGATCGGAAAGGATTAATGATCTTAAATCTCTGGATGAAGGGATGCCTTGCTTCTCTCGGGTGAGTGCATTCCTAAAGAATCGTAAAAGATAGTGTGAAAGCTGCTGAGACATACCTTTGATGACGTCTCGTGTGACGTCAACACAGAAGGCGACGGAGATGAAGAGTGCAAAGATCTCCTCGGTGGATCGCGTGCTCCACCTCATCAGGCGACTCACTCCGAAAAGGGAGTAGCATATGAGGAAGAATGCGTTCCACAGACCCACACAGCAGTACATTGCGAAGAAATCGAGTTGGAAATCCTCGCAGACGTTGTATATGACTGGAGATAAAACAGAAAGATGCTAAGCTCCGCGTTGAAAGAGTTCGGATTTCATCTGATATATGGGAAATATATCCAGAAAACGAAAACTATAGCGATGGACACGAGAAGAAAACGAATTGTAAGGCCGAACGAGATGGAGATAGGAATTTCAATGACAGCTCAATGACATGCTATGGCGAAGTGAGACGCATTCAGTAATACAACAAACGAGCTAGTCTTAGGTTAGAGGGAAAAAAATTGCACCACAGAGACAACGTTTTGGAGAAAAGACAAGGTATATCAAAAGACTTAGGGAAGGCTGCGTAACAAGCGAAGGTGTTAGGACATGCTTCCACTGCTTGCAGAAATGTTAAATGAAGAACTGCTCAATATGGACATGAATTAAGTGGTCGCAATAGTGAGGTATTATTTTATAAGTAGTCTTTCCGAGCAGCCAAGACCCACGAGTTAGTAACCTGTGGGTTCTGGATCCAATTTCTGTGCACGAAGGAAATAAGTTGCCTGTAAAAGAAGAGGACCTTTTAAAAGGGCTACCTTCGCATGTCTCCCTGACATTGGGAGAAGGGAAGTGTGTGATCTACTAACGTTTTGGATCGAATTAAGAAAAGAGTTTCGAGTGCAGAGTGATCGTGCCATCAGGCTTTTACTTCCTTTCGCATCAACATATTTATGCGAGTCTGTATTTTTTGCAGTGACAACAAGGAACAAAACAAAGGAATCGCCAAGAAATCTAGTCTACATAGAACCTGTCAATGACGAGTCTGTCTCCAAGGAATAGCCAATTAGTCAGCAGCAGGCAACCTCAAGTATTACATTTACAGATCGTACAGGAGCAAGTTGAATAAGAAAAATTAAGCACATTTTTATGTTTAGATAGTATTACGCATGCACAATACCTTTCCCAAACTTTGCTTCTCATAGTGGTCCACGAAAGTTAGAATATTTCAGGTGGTCTCTAACATAAAAGAGGTTGAAAAACACTGCTCTAGATGGATGGGAGGTTTACTTTTATGAAAGGGGAGTGTTGAATAATGGTAATAGGCACTGTCGTGCCTATTACCATTATTCAACCATTATTCCAAGAGGTAGCCCTTCTTTTCCTTATTCTTTCCTCCGATCCAGTTAGGACGATGAACTTTTCCTGAATAATTTGTTTCTCATTTCGGCGTGCCTTAATAGAACACAAATACTGAGAGAATGAAGAGAAAGAAAGGAAGAAACAAACAAGACATGAAAGCAGATGTAAGGGCTTGCTGCCTGTTCAATTGGGATTAACTCACTTTTAATGTAGATGGAAAGGGGCGCCGTCGTAAGGAGGATCGTGAGAGGCTGTCCGCTTAAAATTACGAACGTCAATCCTCCGATCGTTTGTCCTATTATCACGCGCTTCACATCTGAGAAGAGAACCACAGAATTCAACGTTTTCTTAAAGACTTCCGCTTAAAACATGCTATACAATCTATTGTTCATTTTATTCCAGTTATTTGAAGTGATCTGCGATGCATGTTTCTCTTTCGGTTCAAGACCGATCTTGTTTGCATTCCAAGAATCAGAACATTGCGGTTACAATGAATACAGACACTCCGTCAAGTAAGAAAAAATTAAGAATATTTCTCAGGTTTTGCAAATGTATTATGCAGGCTTCCTTATTTTACATAACCCATGCACGAAGTGCAAGGAATTTATGAAATCAGAGAATGAAACTCTCAGAAAAATCCCATTATATGTTTGAAATAATCCATTTGCAATGTGCAGGAAGCAACATTAGAATGTTATGGGAGTCTTAGTAATCCTTTCATTTAATTTAATTACTTTCAATTTCTGTCTTCAAGAAAGTCTTGCATTCGGATTTAAGTACGAGAACTGTAGGTTCCAGAAGTTCACGAGAAACTGCAGCATCATAAGTCATAAGCATCATAAGTCGGCAAGAATCAATCTCCAGAAGCGTGAGAGTTATCGTCACTCGACTGGCAACTGGAAGTAAGTGAGTTGATGTGGTTTGGACGCACTAATTAAGCCATGAGTGTTTTGGCTATTGAGGACTCCAAAAGCGATGGCAGGGAGGATGCAGGCGAAATAGAGGAAAAGGGTAGAAGATATCACTTTCTGAATCGTCTTCGAGCCGGACAAGCCATCCGTGTAATCGCTGATGTAAAGGGGCAGCCGTCGACACAGGTCATCCATTATGTCCTTCCCGAACTGGCACCATCTCTCCTTCGGCTGCAAGCAATCATATTGTATTTCCCCTCATCTTCAAATCCCCGCAATAATATACTCTTTTTAAATTTAAAAAAGGCTCCACCCAGGAGCTGAGCGACCTTGATTAAATTGGTACTCGAGCTCGTACTAGCCTAACATGATTTCGGTTACATTTTCAAGTGTGTGGGATGAATATTAATAGATAATACTTGCCAGTTAATCCGAATGTCAATAATGGCTATTGGGTCATACTAATCGCCTGAAATGATAATCACAGAGTTTTTTTCCTGATGAAACGTTGAAAGAGTACTCCTAAAGATGTGCAGAAAATTAGAGAAAAGTTTCGAGATTGTGAGAAACGACAATGCGGAGAAATGCCGGTAATATAGGGAGAAGAGGCCTCCTGTACATTCCGCATTTACGAAGTTTTCTCCGTATTGCCTCAACTCAAGATTTCGGAACTTTTCTCAAAACTTCTGCACATATTTAGGAGTGCTCTTATCATGTTTAATCAGTAGAAAACTTTTAAGGTAACCGTTTCTGGCGAGTATGATTCCATAGCCACTACTGAATTAGATTTTTTGACAAGTTTTTCCATTAATATTCATCACATATGAAACTCTAATTGAATTCATAGAAAGCTAATATGAGCTCCTGTATCAAATTTCATTAGGATCGTTCAACTCCTTCTCGGTCGTGTTTTTTTCTCGACGATTAATATACGGTTTATTTGCCCTTGGGGCAAACAAACTCCCTGGAACGCGCCTTCGGCACTCGGCATTCCAAAAAATTTATAATTCGTTTTAAACATTCCTTTTCGATTCTCATACCTGGGTCATTCCATGAAAAATCGCAAATTTACACCCTGCCATCTCAGATTTTGATTAAATTTATAATGCAAAGTTATTATTTCCGAAAACTCGGAAATATAAAGTTTCAGCATCATCGGGTCAATAGGTCAGATGCTCAAAATGTAAGGTTACCTTCTAACCTCCGATTTTCATATCCTTGTAACTCACGAACTATTCGTGCCAGAGCCATGACTGAGGGGTTGATTCACTGGAAATCGCCAGAAATTTTCCAAATGTGTATAACTTGAATCATAAACACACAATGTTATTTATGGACAAAAAAGTTGTCCATATGAGCCCAAGGGCACATATCTGAATTTTGCAATTTGTATGGAAATCAGCATATCAATAGACATTTTCAAATCCGATTTCAGCTTCCATGTCTTTCCGTTTGGCTGAAGTAAAAGAAACTCTTTCAGAATATCCGCCTGAATAAATACGCCCCAAGGGCATTTACCTCCAAAGTCGGATTTTTTAAAATGAACTCTGCATCCCAATAGCTACTTTTCTCCAATTTTCAGATATCTAGTCTCTCTAGGACATGGTTAATATTGGCGTCAGTCTTTCACCCAGTTACGATGATCTCTATATATTAGATATTAAAACGAAAGATATGCAAGGATGGACTTTGTTTCCTTGTCTTACAAGGAATAGGAAGGTCCTTCAAACTCATTCATGCCAGTGGTGGCGCTTGATGAAGAAGACAAACAAGTTAACTTTTAACTGCGGACAGACTTTCGGAGACACTCTTCCGTTAATGAATACAAATTACCTCCCTCTTTTCCCCTAGCTTGAGAGGAATGGAAAATATGCCTGAACTATCAGAGTACTTACGTGATCAGCATCTGTGGAATCGACATGGTTCTCCAAGAGTCGTTTCTCGACGCTGTTCTGCTCGTCGGCCAGGATCTGAGCCTGTTTCGATAACAGCTGCTTGAATTCATCTTCTGAATGAGCTTCGAGAAGTTTCTGTCGGAATTCCAGGTCTGCCAAGAGTGTGGAAAAGGTCCTCCCGGTCTCCAGCGAGTTCTTCGTCCCTTTCTGCGATCAATAGCATGCAATCGTAATTAATGATAAACTTAATCGATATTCCTCCCACGGTTCCATTCTAGATATCCCTAGCATTACGTGCAGACTCTTGTATAGACTATCTGAGGAGATTCCAAGTCTTTCTCCGAAATTTCAAGAAGAGCCTTCATCCAATAATCGTCTTTCAAGGTAAAGCAGAGGAAGAATATATTCTGCTTAAGAAATGCCCTTCTGAGAAAGAGAGAAGGAAGGAGATAGACAAGGAAGAAAACTTCATTCTCAGAGAGAGAGAGAGAGGGAGAGATAGAGTGAGAGCTGCCTTGCACCTCATCTCATAAAAATAAGTTATCCCTCTCCCTGCAAGTATTGAATGACCAATTAAATTGTCTTGTGAATTAATCATCCAATACAACCCGATATCGCGATATCTTTTTACATTCCTGAGAGTGGTCCTCTCTATTTGACCGTAAGGAAGATTTCTTTTCCCAATTCCACCCTGTAATTGGGGCACCTAATGGGGTAGACAAAGCCTTTATTTACAGAGAATAAAATCGTGATATGACTAATCATTTTACCAGCGACCACAGGCACCAGGATTAAATCTGATGGGAAACCAGTCCCATGGCTCCGCGGTTTCTTGGCTTTTGGGGATACCCAGGAGAAACAGAACACCTGTCCCATGCTTGGTAAGGGAGATTTGCGTAAAAGCTCTAGGACATTGGTCTAAAGATTTCTATGTTCTTCTCGCCCACAGGGTAGGGTAAGGTGGGGTAAAAGTAACCTGAAAAGCACATAATTGCTTTCTGCAGAATAATTAGAAAAAATCCTGGTCAAAATAATGTCACAATAATTTATTTTTATCCTCTTCAAACAGTGAAAAAGAGATTCCAATGACTTTCAGAACTTGAATCTGAAGTGGATCCTCAGGAAACCTCCTTTTAAGAAGCCATGTTTCTTGTAACTTTTGCCCCGTGAAATGGGATAAAAGTAACATACCATGGGGCAAAAGTAACATTGCTGCACAGGTGCTGCCTGATAGCACTGAAAACAAAAGGGGCAACTTTAAATGCACTCCATATTACGCGGATGAATAGAGGAAAGGAGGGTGCCAAAAACCGCGTTACAAACCAAAACAGGTGCCAATCGATAGATCTTGATGAGTAGATCAAAGTTGTCAATGGGCGCAAATCAGTCAAAGAGTGCGATCATTGAGTTATATTCGGTTGCTCAAATTCTTTTGCAACGTATGCTGATATAGTACACCAGACAATAGATGTAATCGCTTTTTAAAATTATAATGGACATCGTTGAAAAATGTTCAACAAGAAGAATTCAACGATACTATTCTCAAGTATATTGTGTTGTCCGTCAACGCATTTAAAAGGAAGGAGACAGTAAGAAATGAGAAGTATTTTTTATTGAAAGGAAGTCCTAAGAATAATCCGAATAATCGGCAGAGACTGCCTTACATTCATACTCAAAAACTACTAAAAGTATAATGATAAACAACATTATTGATTGCATCTCAATATAGTTAGTTGCACTAAATGTATTTATTCAATGGTCCGCAAGTCCGTTTCGCCTGTTACGTTTTTATTCTGATTCCACTGACTGTTTACAGAATGAAGATGCAGACTCACTTCTTTGCTGGGACAGAGGACGAGAGCGAAGAGCCGAACTTCTTGGGAGGTGGAGCCCATGTTGGCTGGATGCTTCAACCTGGCTATCGCCACTCTTTGCCTCGATAGTGATGGCAAATTGCATCTAAACAAATGGACTCAAGATGTCATCTTTCCAGTCATGAAACGTAAACAACGCATGCACATGTGCACAATACCGTTCTCAGCAATGAATTTCGGATTTTGTATGCACACTTCAAGAGTTAGAACCAGCTCCGATAGATCTCTCTAATGGCAAAGATCTTCATAATGGATCTCTTTAATTAATTGATTCACATCATTGAGAGTGATTCACTAAATACAGTATTTTTTCCGTATTGTCTATATTAGTGTCATATACATTGCAAACCTAGCACCATATATGAGGGTCTGAATATGAACCATATATAGTTACGTATATATCAAGCATGGCCAAAACATGATACGGACTGAACTGTTTCCAGACATGGCTAAATTCAGTACTGTACAATCCAATACATACGCCTGTATTTTAAGTTCCGTAAGGGTTAGGATGTTCTCCATGGTCTTCCCCGGGATAATCGTGAGACTTACCGGGCTATATTTCCCCGGATTACGCTTTTCACCCTTCTCAAAGATCGGTACGACGTTTGCTAGCCTCCAGTCCTTATGTACTTCACAGCGCGAAAAGCTGCTTTCAAATATGATTATTTGAGGAACCGATATTTCTCTCACAAATTCCTTGATGACTCGAGCAGGAATCCCGTCGGGGCCAGTCGCCTTGCCCATCTTTAACTTCCCTATCATACTGACGTTCGTCTCTTCGGTGATGGAAATATCCGCATTGTGCGCCGAAGTCACCTCCTTCAATGTCTGTGCTTGGTCGGATTCCACAGTGAAAACGGAAGCGAAGAACTCGTTAAGTATCCCAGAATTGCTTGCAATCGACTCCCCCTCCCGTTCATTAGAGGCCTGATCGATTGTTGATACCACTGGCATATCGATAAAAGGCCTTGAGGTTCTTCTGAGCATCGCTAGCCAACCGTTCCTCCTGTCTCGCAGACCTGATTTTCCACTTCAACGTCCTAGTATTGATCCTATATTTCTCATAGTCCCAGTCTCATAGTTCCATTTTATTCATTTCCCGGAAGCATCAAGGAGATACACACAGCATTACTAAAAACTCTTGACTGGATTTCAACGGTTAACATCAATTTTTAATAGTCGCTATTCCCATACGAAAGAAGAATAATAAAAATATCATAATTCCATGTTTTCCACATATTTGTTTATAAATTGCACAATAAAAATTGGAAGGAGGGGAGAAAAACCTCATACTATATCAGGAAAGCAGGTACTTATTTGCATTTGTAAGGTGCAGGGAACATGGGTTGCATCTAGTGAGGACTATTGGCACTGCAACTGCAGGAGAGTCAATTAAAATTTCATGGATGGTGCGGGGTTGATTTTGCATAAACTTGATATCATGCATTAGATGACGTCATGTCTAGTTCACATGAAATACACATCCACTTTGGTGAGGCAAATGGAGGAATGCAAATTTCATATGTACGTGGTATCATTTGCATGACAATCACAAGAAATTGATATTTTTTTACAACATGCTGTTTGGGTAGATATGCCCCCACAAAATATTTTATCTCTAATCTTTAAATCTAATCTTTAGATTGTCTTCCATCCGGCAGAAGTGACGGCAGAACGCAGAAGTTTCCGCTCTCGAGTGAGCCGAATTTCTGCCGTTCGCTTTCAGTGGCGTTTCCCGCTCAGTAATAATCACCTTGACACTCCCGCTTTCGTAAAGTATAGTCCTTTGATTCCTTCTCCTAATCCATGTATATCAGGTTATGCTCAGGCTAATCAGATCCCGATTTTCTGGAATCCTTCCAGTGGAAAAGGGGCTCTCGGCATACTAACTCTTCATGTTCCCAACCATTCGTTTGTTGTAATTTTCTCGCAACTGGAATGGTAAGGCGGCCACGCACGACAAACAAGTCTTGCGAAAATGGATGAAACTAGTTTCTGAAGTTGATTCCTCACACATGTCAGGTTCAGTTTCCTAGCTGGACGAAGTGATTTTTTGTTAGCAGCAATTATTATTGCTCAAGTAAGAAAAAAAAGGAAGTCTCTAATGAAAAATTAGTGACTTTCACGATATAGTCGCGGTTATGAGTAATAAATTTGAGACTTGCTATGTGAGGACCCAGAGTCCTGCATTAGTCTTCTGCGGAAGAGTCCACAATGCTTCGAGGAGCTGCTGGATGTGGTAAAGCCATCCATCAGCAGACAAGACTGAATCATGAGAATGACTATACCTGCTAATATTCGCTTAGTTGCGATATTATGGTTAATATCAATTAATTGTGACTTATCAGTTGCCAGAAACAGACAACTGATAAGTCACAATATACTTACCGATTGGTCAATGCATGATCGATATCTAAATGTTTTCCAAATAAAATTTTTATATTCTTTCATGGGGAAATTGTACATTGGACATTGTATATTGGGAATTAAATTAAGTTGGAAAATTTTTCGGTATTTCAAATCAAGCCACCAGAGCAATATTTGTATTTAACTTTTGGCGCGTATACTCTATTTACATACTGTACACCTGACTTCTTTGAGGCCTCCACCTTTCTCCACTTCATGAAATAAGTCCTCGTGGAGTGTCATTTATTTATTATCTCACTTCGACTGATATACAATTTTTCTTTAGGGTGTGTACCGATGTATCGGCAACCACCTCAAGATTGCACTCACTCAGATCGACTACAACCGTTAAAACCAGGGATATTTCATCTCGTCTAATGATCGATGGATAATGAAATTGATTAGAGGAGGAGATGAACTCACAGGGCACAGATCCAGGAATGATCATAATCGAACATCCTCGCCTCGCTGCTACATGTTCCTTGAATCGTCCTCGATAACAAATTCCCTGTAACACACAGATATACCAGGTGAGACAAAAAATGTGCCGCTCTTTGAAATATTGTGGCACCTCTGAAACAGCAGCTAAAACTATGAAATCCCTTTCCTACATACCCCTACGTATCCTTTGAGCTTTCGAAAAGTTTTGGCTATTTATCTCCTGCCGTTTTGGCATAAGAGTGATTTTACAAAAGTAACTGGAATTTTATTTTTGTACTCGCACCTGGACGCTGACGGGAAGACCTGTCCCACCCACTCGGAATGACGTTTATTCTCAGGATTTTTTCCTCTGGACATTAGAACTCACTAAGCTTCTTCCAAATGAACATAATTTCCTTCAGTTCTGGTTTAATCTTCCGCTCCTTCGCTTCCTCTCAGATAAAATGGTTCCTCGCAGCTGTGAATCAATCTCTCAACAATAGTCCTACATTTCTTTCATTTCTTACTTGGTAAATTCTGTATTTAAAAAATTCATTCCTTCGCAAAGAGCAGCATTTTCATGGGAGATGGAGGAGCTCTGGCCCGAGATTTGTGCGCTCCTAGCCTACCGACAGATCCTCCGCTGATACTTTAACTCGCGCAAAAAATAAAATTCTTGTCGCCTTCGTGTTTTCTCTCCTGTACTAAAACGGCTGGAGAAAAACGAACAAGAATTTTAGGAAGTTTCAAGGATACGTAGAAGTCGCTGCGAAAAAAATGCATTGTGCTATCTTCCATCTCAAGAACTCTAATGAATCTCAAAAGAGCGGCGCGGTTTTTTTTCTTTTCACCCGGAATACATGAAAGGATTATATTCGGGGTATATATTTCAGAGAGAGAGAGACAGGGCGCTGAATCAGCATTTCAGTGAAAGATGGGAAGTTTGAAGAGTGCATCGTAGGAGGTTCCTAATGAGATCAGAGAGAGTTTCGGTTTCCAATCGCTGTCGAGATCTCTCTAGTGGCAGATATCTTCATAATGGATCTCTTTAATTAATTGATTCACATCATTGAGAGTGATTCATTATTCATGAGCCCACCATTCCAGCTGATGGATAGTGGCATCTTTACATTCCATCACTATTGAGAAAATGCACTGTAAACATCATGAAATAAAACCTGTACAAATTTAGAGAGAATTTTGGTCAATCCCTCAACCAGATCCCTAGGGGAAAAAATCCCCTGTTCATTTTACCGTCAAGTATTCAGCATCTACGCTTCCGCTAAAAGTCAAGAGGAATATTTAAAAAACGGAAACTTTCCGGATCAGAGTAAAACGGAGATAGTTTTTTTTTGGCTTTACGTAAAAAGTATTCCACCGCATTCCGTCGCGGCGAACTCAGGGCATTAGCAGGAACACTCCGATATATAATTAAAAATAAAAGAAATCAGCGGAAAGCAGAAGTTAAAAGTCAACTTTCTAGGTAACAACAGGATATTAACAGAAGTAACCCCTCCCCCCCATATGCAGTAAGTCCTCGCTTTGCATCGCTTCTGTTTACGTCGTTTCGTTATTACGTCGTCAATTATTTGTTAATTGCTGCCGTTCAGGAACTCTATCGATTTGGTGAAGGCCACACCTACCCACACCTGATTGTGTAGGGAGGTGTCAATGTCATCGGTAGATGTCCTCTACAGATTGCGCATGGAAATCAGACAAAACGATGCTACAGAGGTGAAATTCTGCAATCTGTTGTTCTACCTTACTCTCAAAACATGCGACACTAGGCCAGCCTCAAACATGATAATGCCAAACTTAATTGAGCGCAGACAGTCAACCAATTCACGCTGCAGAATCTAGTCAACAAAATAGACTGGCCAAACGATTCACCAGTCTTGGCGTCCCTCAAGCACGTTTAGGACCGGCTAGACATCAATTTTAACCTCCTACCACAACCTCCTCTGACTCTTCACAACAAGCTCCTCTGCGGCGGAAATGGGCCAACGTCCCCCAGGGACAGATCAAAAGGGATCGCCAGCAGAATGAGAAGCTACTGTCGAGCATAACTAAGAGCAAGGCATGGTCATACTCTTTACAGAAGGTTCAACAGTTTGGACAATTTTTTTGCGAACTTCAGTTTTCAGATTACATATTGAGTACAAGATGAAAGCCTCTGTGGGAACGACAGTAACATCGGGGGAATCGCTGCATGTCTGCAGCGGCGAGTTCGAGGCGACCGCGCTTATATTGTCGGAACTTCATTCTTATGGAATGAACTACTAGATGTCATGCCAGATGGAAACCCCTTCCAATCTGGTCATAAAATAGTGGACAACAAGAAACTGTCCATTGGATGTTCCAAGACGAACTAACTCATCCTGCCGTTCAAATTTTGTGTGCTGTAAAGGAAATCATGCACTGATCCAATGTCCCTTTTTATTATGAAGAGGTTTATAGATGCCGATTAATGGACTGGAAATATGAGAAAAAGATAGGGTTTCACCAGGACTAGCACTAAACTTTCCCAAAAAATATTAGGATAATATTGGTCAGGGGAGGTGAGGGGACTGGTACATGTCCCATGGCAAGGACAAAAGGGGTGAAAGTATTATTCATCAGGAGGGCCATCAGGAAAGGGTCATCAGGGGGCAACGAGCTCATGACATATGCATATTGTTAGGCAATCCCAAATAACACAGTATGTTGATGAAACGTTTCCGAAATGTTGCCTATGTTGCAAGTTGTTGTAAAAAATTAAAAAAACATTGCTTCAATGTTTTCACATGGAATGTTGTCGATATTCGACCAATATTGAATTATTTATTTCATCCTTTCGGACCATATACTTTACCTCTCTACTCAGACATTCTCATCAACAGGACGAAGCCTGTACTGGGTTTACCCTCTATCCATGCATAATACGGTATCTGTATCATGTACAGGCAGGAGACAGTACATTTTTGGAGGTGATCTTCCCCAGGATGTGCTAAATTGCATAATAAAGGAAAAGGTCCGACCGCAATGTTCTATGGAGTGTCCACGAGATCAATCCTCCATTTCCTCAGCTAGTACCCAGAATGAGTATATGAAGTATTGAGATCGCAGACCCTCTACCATCGTTTTTATTGTCCTGTAGGATTAATTCGACGAGTTCTTGGAAAGGGTACTTTTTGGGAATATTAGCTTTTTTTTATCTTGACCCCATTAATCTGCCTGGAAAATGAGGATAACAGATGATGAAGTGTCCGTGTTCATTGATTCCTATAATGAAACAATGTGAGACACATGGCAATGTACTAGACATTCCTGTGCAGGACTATTCCAAGGAAAGGGAGAAGGGCACTTTTGTGTACTGTGAGAAAGCGAGACTTACGTCTCCATCTCGTGGCAAGGAGAACAACTTTACAATTCTCTAAAACTTCTAAGTCCATGTTGTATCAGAATGTTGTCGCTACGTTGTCGATGTCAAGAGTGTCAACATTCCCATGTTGGTAGCTAATGTTGCAATGACATTCGTGGAAGTGTCGCAACAACATTCCATGTGAAAACATTGAAGCAATGTTTTTTCAATATTGTACAGCAACTTGCAACATAGGCAACATTTCGGAAACGTTTCATCAACATACTGTGTTAC